AAAGATACAGATTTTAGAGGTAATTTAGATTTAACAAATTCAACAGGTGATATTCTACTACCTACAGCGGGGTTTGATATGTTTAGAAATAGTGGAGATGCTAATTATAATTTAAGAATTAGGGACACACAAGGAGTATTTGAATTTAAGAACAGAAATTTTAGATGTATGAACCCGAGTAATCCAGCAAACGGAACGGAAATGATTTTACACGACACAGGAGGCGATTATAGATTACGCATTGGAAGCACAACAACAGCAACAGTAGGAATAGGAAGAGCGTATAATTTTTCATATCATTTAACAGTAGGCGGTGTAAGTAATTTTAACGAAACGAGAGTGGAAAATGACGCAACATTTTTAGGACAACAGTTATTAAGCACTGATGGAAGAATATTTCAAAGAGCAGACGTTAATAATTCATTGAATGTAATATCAACAGAAGAAATTAATTTTAGTCTTCAAACTGATAGAACGACCGATCCTACAACAGGAACAATAGCAGTCCAGTTAAATGACACTAACGGAATAACATTAAACAGAGCAGTTACAAATAATCTTACTTTTAATAGCATAGGAAATATCGTTGGTGAAAGCGATGTTGTTAGTTGGGGGCGTTTTATGTTTCAAAATAGTAGCGAATTAAAAGAAGTGTTGGACGGTCAATATAAATTATTTGTTAGAAATGGCGATACATTAGGTGATATTAATTTAACAGTTGGTTTAGAATCATCAACGCCAGAAATTAAAATAACAGATGGTAAAGTTAAGATGAATAATTTAGAATTAACACAAGAAACAATAAGCACCGTAGACCAGATACAGTTTTTAAATACCGATGCAGGTGGCGAATATGCATTTTATTTTGGTAGTGTTTCAGTATCAAATGATGTATTTTCAATTTCACCAAGTGGTATTCTCGTTAATGGAGATATTGAATATACTGGGTCTTTAATTCCAAGTTCTGATAAACGATTGAAAAAAGATATTAAGGAACTTAACCAAAAAAAGGCAGTGGAATTAGTTAAATACATTGTTCCAAAAACATATCATTTTATTGATAACAGACAACAAGGTAAATCGTGTGTTGGGTTTATTGCTAATGATTTTATGGAAACGAAGAAGATGCCAGAAGAATGGCAAAATATAGTTAAAGAAGGCAAAGATGGATATTTAAAATTCGATTATACAACAACTACGCCAATTTTATGGAGTGCTTTACAGGCAACAATGAATGAAGTAGAAGAATTAAAAGATTTAGTGAAAACAATGAAAAAAGAAATGGCAACAATGAAAGGAGAAATAACAAAGTTGAAGAATGAAATTAAAGGAAAATGATAAATAATATTATGGTTAAATAATATTATTAATCTTTAAACGTTTATTCACTGTGGTCAATTGCAATATATTTTTCAAATCTCACCATAAACATTTTATTTATATCAGGTTGCATTAAATTGACAAAAAGAAAGCTAAAAGGTTCTTCTGTGGCAATATTGTAAATCTCTAATAAAAGTTGCTTTGCTTGATGTAGGCTCTTCATATCTGACATTGCTTTTTTACTGATTAAAACACCTGCTAATTCATCTAAAACACTCTCCACTTCTTTATAGTTTCTTAATTTAAAAAATATTAATTGTCTTGAATTTGTCCTTATAGTCGTGCTTAATCCGTTATACTTTTGCGATGAACTGATTATATTCACCCCGAAATGGCGGGCTTTGATATAAAGAGCATTCAGTAAATTATTATGTTTTGCAAAACTCGCCTGATCTATGAAGTCATCTACCAAAAAGAGCACTGAATACAATTTATTAAATCCATTCTTCTTTTGATATTCATTAATCTTATGTTGCAGATCTAAAACCTTTTGCATTTCGTCAATGTTGAATGTGTCAAAATAAACTTTCTCCTTCTTTGTATCAACATTTAAATCATTTTCAATATATTTCTTCACAGGTGTCCAAACTGGGTCTAAATCAATAGAACTAGACCATATGAAGATACGACTAAAACAACCTTTATAAATGTCTAATATTAAATTGGAAAGAAGAACGGTTTTACCAGACCCCGACTGACCTGTTATAACCATTGAGAAAGGAATTCGTGGAGCAACGTCGTATTTACTTTGTGTGAATGCGTATTCTTTTGTTTTATATGCTTTTACTATTGGAATATTACTCATTAATAATATTTAGAAATTAATTTCTATTAAATGATGGTGTTTATTGTCACCCGTTGCGAGCCCCCCTGTCAATATTCTATACTGTTATAAATACTTACTAGCGAACAGAGTAAGACATTATAACATCTAATTCAGAATTCGTTTGTTGAAGCAGGAACAACACCATTAAATCTTAAAGCAATTGTTAATAATTATTTTTAATTATTAATAATATAATGAGTGATGACGGTAAGTCTGATAAGAACGGATTTCGCATTGATACAAAAGGTATCTCTTGCATTCCGTGTAGATGTAAAAAACAGTTTTATCATAAGGAAACGAAAACAACCACAGAAAACAATGTAACAACAACTAACACCATTGAAGACAGGAGAAATATTAAGTTCGGTTCTGGAAGACATACTTCACCTGATGAAATTTTCAAGCCGGAGAGTGTTTTACAAAGCGGAAGCGTTGAGATATGCGATAATGGATGGGGGTCAAAAGGTGTTACGCCGGAAGAACTGGAAGAAAGAGTTGATAAGCTGGAAACATCTGTTGAAGAAATAAAGAAGGAAGTTGAAGAAGTAAAGTTGCAAAAAGTGATAATAAGTTTGTAAAATAATATAATATGAAGAAAGAAGATTTTAATATTGATTTTAATGAAAAGCCTAGAATAACAGGAGACGAAGGTAAAATAAATAAGCAATGTGGAAAGTGTGGTGGATTTAAGAACTTGTCAGAGTTTAAGCATAAGACGAAAAACGGTCGTATGAATAAAACGTGTAGAAGATGTTTAGAGATGTCGCATATGTATCATATAAAACATTTACTTCTGGCTCAGGATAGGATTATAGCAGAGGAATTAGATGAGCGTTAAACAAATGTTGAATAAAGATTGTAGTAATGGAAAACGTATCTTTATATGTAAATCATCGTTGTATGTTATGTGATAAAGTTATTCATAAATACAAATTTTTGAGTAGGCACCTGAATAGCAAAATGCATAAGCAGAAGATGGAAGAAATAGAACGAGAAAGAGAAATTATGAAAGTTATGAATAAAACAGATAAATTGAGAGAGCTAGATGAGAGAATGGAAAACATAATTGTTAGTTACAGGGTTCATTTTGAAGATTAGTTTTCATAATAATTAATTATGAAAATTAAATAAGGTTCACGCCCTAGTTCGCGGACAGGGGGTTTGGGTAAGATTGTTGGGTTGGGTTCGCCTTGGTGGGGTTTGGGGAAGATTGGGGTTAGGGGCTTTGGTATTGGGGGTTTGGGGTTGATAGGAGAATTGGTAAGGGTTTTTGGTTGGGGCTTTTGGAAGTTGAGGGTATAGGATAATTGGGTAAGATTGTTTGGTTGGGGCTTTTGGATGTTTGGGGTATAGGATAATTGAAATGTATAGTTCAATTTCTGATTTTAGTTTAAAGAGAAAGTGTCTTTGTATTATTAGGAGAATGGAGCAGATTGAAGAGGGAAGGAAATTTTGTTCTACGTGTAAGCGTTATAGGAACATTGAACATTTTGACGAGGGTTATATGTCTTGTAGGCGGTGTATAGAATATATGCGAGATTATAGGACAATGAACAAGGCAAAGGTTGATGAATGGAAGTCAAATTACCGTGAGAGGAACAAGGAGGAGATTGCTTTACGGAATAAAGAATATCGTGAGAAGCACAGGGATGAAAAAAGATTGTATAATTCTTTGGTGGTTCGCTGTGATGTTTGTGATTGCGAGGTTCGGAAATGTAATCTTGCGAAACATAAGAAAACGAATAAGCATATGGATAAAATGAAAATGATTGAGGCGGATTAGTTCATATTATGAGCTTATAATATGAATTAATTTTTTTGGCGGGATATTTGGGAGGACGGGTGTTGAACTAGGGCGTCAAGGAGTCTAGCTATATGACCCCCCCCCCCCCCCCGACCCGCAGTGGTCTCGAATATGACCCTGTTCCTTCTCCCCCCCACCCCCCCCCGACCTGCAGGAAAGTCGCTTTTTGCTAGGCAACCGCCCAGGCCCCACTCCTAACGGAGATAGAAACGAAAGCATCGCTACGCTAGCTTTCGTGCCTTCGGCATTCGACATGCTTCGTAACTTGGAGTGTCGGATTCTGGGGCTCCTAAAGAAGCTGTGTTCAGGGCTCAGGCTTCGGCACGGTGACAGAAAAGGCAGCACACAATGGCAAAAGAGCAGCAGAGCCGAGACACATCCTGCTGATGCACGCTGTGAAGGAAAGTGGTACGACACCAGAAGCAGCAATGAAACTGACAAGGCATCATCATAGCTGCTTTAGAAGTGTAGAAGTGGCATGCAGCCTCCTGGCTAAACCAACCGAACGCCCATGCAACCCGCCGAGCGTGCACTCTGCACGCCACTGGCCGCTGCCTAGTTGCCCTCTCAGGCTTCCAGGAGGGTCTGCCTGCGATCTTCAGTTCAGGCGGGGCTCAAGACTCCGCAACTTGTGTATCTTGTGGCGTACAAGCTCGACCATAACTCGAAGAGTGTGTTATCGAATGCAGGCAGCACCCTAAACCCTATACCCACACCCTAAACTCTGAACCCTAAACCACCATCCTTGTTCTCAGCTTGCACTCGCGGTGGCAGTGTCCTGGCTTCGGTGAAGTAGTTCAACTGGAAAAGTTGGGATGTCCCCCTTCTACTAGCAGTCCTTAGTAGGGATTATAATAGGGGGTACTATCATCACTATTAAGGACTGGTAGTGACTGGTAGTCTATAAGGGGGGGAAAGCATTGAAGCTGGGAGGCCTTTAGACTTAGAGTGGGCTCATGAAGTTTTTGGCAAATGGAGCTGGGGCTGATGTCAGTCCTGGCCGACGACTACCCCAAGGCCGAGTTTCCTCGGATTCGCGATGGAACAATACCCCCCCCCCCAAACCCTAAACCCTAAACCCTAAACCACATGAATCAGAAGCACACACAGCGGGAGCAGGGACCAGATGATGCCCAGCAGCTCTTCCAAGCGAGCGAACTGATGCTGCATCCTGCAAGGATGGTACACGCATCTCGGATCGGGATCTCGTTCATGGTTGAGATTGTATTTACAATTCTATTTATTTTCCTGATTGGGCTTTAGCACCCTTAAACATGTAAAATGTTACCCCACTATGACACAGGGATCCTGTTCCTAGGGTTACATGGGGACATGGGGGGGGGGCAGACATGCAAGCTCTGGAAGCGCATCGATCACGCAGAGGGATGTTCGTAGGGAGACAGGGTTCTGCTATAAGGCTGCACTAAGAACCAGGTCAACTCTGTCCTTTGTAGTGCCATGAAAGGGCCACTGAAGGCGGAATGTGCCTCAGCGTCCGAACTTCAACAGAATACCTCCTGCAATGGTCTATCGCAATCATACGCGTCTGGTTTTTGGAGCCTCGAGGATTGAGGATGACAGTTAGACGAACAATGCTCCGAAGCCCTCTGGGCACAGCAACATGCTCGCAATATCTCTGGTACATCCACTGAGTGTGCAGAATTTTCAAATCGGACCGCTATGGTAAACTCTGTCGCTAGCGCGCAGTCGAGGGCATGGATCTTTCGGATCTTGGCCGAACGGTATTCAGCCGCACGGCAGATCTGTGAGACTGTGAGACAAAGACTTCCTAAATCCCAGCTGCATTACTACCCTAAAACCCTAAATCCTAGACCCTTGAAGGCCCGGCATCCCCCTAAAACAGTAAGCCGAAAGGACTGTGACAAAAACTTCTCTGAGGCAACCCGCACGTTGTAGCAGATCCGCAAGGACGACGACACAGATGGCACCCACCAAAGCGAAGATGTAGATGTAGGAGGCCAGCTGATTCAGCACCTAGGGTCCCCCAAAAACTCAGGGCTGAAAGGTAACAGCAAGCCAACGAACATGTACTTCCTGAAACCCTAAACCCTAAACCCTAAACCCTAAACTGTTGATCCTCTTGAGCTCCATCGCCAAGGTCAAGGCGGGCTGGATGAGCCCGTAACTCCACATGATCCAGAAGAGAGCGCCGAAGAAGATGAAAATCCCCTGGGCCCAGGCAAGAACTGGGTTTAGGGTTTAGGGTTTAGGGTTTAGGGTTTAGGGTTTAGGGTTTAGGGTTTAGGACACTGAGGACAGGGTTTCTCTGCGGTCAGGTTCTGAGGATGCCGGTGGTTGTCAGTTCCACTGAATCATTCCCCCCGAGGCTATTCCGGTTTGAAGATCCTAGCCTAAACCCTAAACCCTAAGCCTACTGCGTCGCGACTTCGTTGCTTTCATGACATCACTGCTGTGGCTAAATATTTGACGTTACAGTCCTGCAGGTTACACCTGCTCTCTAAAGCGCAACGGGCGAAGCGTCGAGTTCACCGAGTAAGGTGAACCTAGCTTGCGTGCACGTGATGTAGTGAAGTAAGCGGGACGTCACTCAACCTCCTCGTGATGCGCAGATCAACAGAGACAAGCGAGCTCAAAAGCAGGTTGGCAGTCTGAGAAGCACGCGCACATTGCCCGTCGTGTCTCCAGGCTCAGGTACATCATGTTCGATGGGATGCTCCTTGACGCCGATCTCTTCTCTTCTGCTTTCTCTTTATCGAGCGGGCTAAACCGAAACCCTAAACCATGGGGCCCGGGGACCAAAGGCCCCAGGGCGAGTTGGTGGGGGTTTGACCATCGGTGGAAGAGGCGAACTCTATCTGCTTCTTCATAGCTTCTTCCTTAGTCTTCTGATTCTGCGTCTGCTTCTCTAGGTACTGGGGCAAAAGGGCAGACCCGCCAGTGACACCTCAACTCCCGGAAGGTTCGCTTAGGCCAGAGGGCCCACCCCGGTGCTTCACTATTAATTGCTCAAGAGCCCCCAAAAAATGAAAACTATTCTTCCTTATAAGGGAGGTGTAGGGATTATCATTCTTTATTCTTTTGGAGTTCTTAAGCAAATAGTAGTTCAGTGAAGGGTTAGCCACAACCCTTCAGTGTGAGAGCAGCCCCCCATTCGTATCCCCCTCTTACACCCGTCTAAACCCCGCTCTAACCCCCCTCTAACCCCCCCTCTTACCTCTTACCACCCCCAAAAGCAACCTGCTCTTTCTCTTTCTCTCTGCCTGACCACCGACCCAATTCTTTGGAGGCAGACCCATCAGGGACAGAATCATGCAAAGATATGCCTTACCCAATTAGTTAGGGAGTTGACGGTTGATTCAAGTGAAGGTCGTGCGATGAGTTACCACTACAGGCCTCAGCCCTGCCGAGAAGAGTTGCCTCTTGTGACCGAGGCTTCGGCAGTATCGCCAACAAGATGGCAGCGGGAATGGCGCACAGACCACCACCCGCCTTGCGCAACACATTCTAGCAACTGTACAAAATAGTACAAAAGTAGAAAGTCTTCTGACCGAAAGTACGACAACGCAAAGCGGAGATACTGCACCTATAACCCTAAACCCTAAACCCTAAACCCATACACTGCTCCTTCCCTCTGAGTGGCCGGCCCCTCCCTCGGAAAGAGCCTTCCAAGAGATGTACTTGCCTGATCAGTTCAGACATCCCAGCTAAACCCTAAACCCTAAACCCTAAACCCTAAACCCTAAAACCCTAAACCCTAGACTGTCTCATGGAGCCGTGGCCGAAGCTTCGGTGGCATAATTTCAAAGGCGGAAGCCGTGAACACGTCGGAAGGATGACTTCCCGAATTCCCCAAACATGAGAGCACCGAGAGTAGCACTGGGTGGCTGCCACCTCACCTGGGACTCCCCTTTGAGCGTGTTAGTTATGTGGGTTTGGGTCGGGGCTCAGCTCAAGAGGCTTCAATGGCTCAATGGGACGCGGCTTCTAGCAGAGTCCACATCAGATCGAACTTTGGTCCAGCACTGCTTCTGCAAAACACGGCTGACACCATTTGAGTGCAGCCGAAAAGCGATTCCCAAGCCCATACCGACAAGACCTGACAAAGTGAACATGCTAGCACGAGCCGCTCATGACAGATCAGGAAGGTCATGAACTGTTTGCGACATGTGCTACGGCTACAGTCTAGACAGCAACAGTCTTCACCATCAGAGAAGTCCGAGCTGAGTGCCCAAGATCATGGCTGTCGCCCACGAGTAACACCTCCAGGCACGCGCGGGCGATGGGTGCATGACATTCTCATGTGCACTTTCAAACCTCCTTGCACCAAAATTTTCAGCTGAGCGGCACAGCTTTGATCACCGTCTGCACCTCCGGCCTGTAAGGGGATTCTGAGTTACTTCGTTGCAGCAAGCGCAGAGGAACATAGAGGAACCCTTGAGTGCCCCGGCGGTCTGCTGTCGATCCATGCCTCGATGCTTTGCACCTGCAGGCTTCGGGGCTCAGAGCTCCGTGGTCTCGGGAGCTGCTGGACAACTGCGCGACTGCGCTGCCGGCCTTGCGGAGGATCCCATTCCGGCCCTCCTTGACCGTAAAGGCGGTGTTGGAGTGATTTTGCTTCTCAACCAGCCTGCTTTGGCAGCTCACAAGGCCACTTGGGGTTGATGTGGCTCCCATATGCCTTTGAGCCTGCAATACCCTGCAACAAACAGCCAGGAAGCACGCAGGCAACGCAGAATTGCGAGACTGAGCGGATCTGAGCCGTGTAATTAGGGCCTGATGATGTCTGGGTCTCTGCTACCTCAAAAAAGCTAAAAACCTTCTGATTCTTCACCTCGCTTCGGAGCGGCGCGCCTATCCAGGGCTTCTGCCTTGATGGCTGTTGTCTCCACTCGCCTGCGCAATCGAGCGCGGGGTAGAGAGATTACAGCAGCCACAGAGCAGTCATGACAGGCATTTTTCAGTCTCCAACCCTCAGCACGTTCGGCTCTCCCTTTCATGCTGCACTGTACTATCCCTCGCAGGAATGCTCGCGGCAGTGTTGTCGCATACTTGTCGTGATCTCGCATTCTCTGCACTACTCCGCCATCTAGATATGTAGCGCAACTCGGTCTACCCTCTACAATACGAACAGTACAGGATTCAAGCAAACGCTTCGAGCACCCTCAGACCGACCGCGAGGCCTATCGGGCTCGCCCCTTCGCGTTTGCATCGTGGAGCAGACGTCCTGGAAGGTAACATGAGATGCTTGGGTTTAGGGTTTAGGGCTTAGGGTTTAGGTTGCTTTCGGACGATGCTCTTCAAGTTGACGGTTCCGATTCTATGGAGGTCACGCTGCTGCGGATTTCGGGTCTCGGGTTTCCCCACAACCTGTGAGAGCCTGCGGCTCCGTGCCGGAATTATGGTTGACAACTGAGCTAAAGAATGAGCCCTCACTGGAGGCCATCCTCCCCTGGAGCACCATCCGGTAATTTGAAACTTGGGATTCGTGCTTAGGGCTCTGCTGCAAAAAGCGTTCCCAACCCCAAGCCCTAAACCTGCCTCATCGGCCACATTTTGGCTGCGCTGCGCTACGGCAGCCGCTGCCCAGGCCACATGCAAGCAGATGTGTCCTGGCCCACGCAAGAACAATGTTTAGGGCTTCTTTGGTCTCTAAGGTTAAGTCAGAAGAAGACTCTGAGGTTAAGTTCAGAAGACTAGGCTCGCAGGTGTCTTCGTGGCTCCTGCGGGGCCAAGCCGCCGCGGCATCGGTCAAGCTCCCGGCCGCATCCTCTGAAATCCCCGGCTCTCGATTTATAGGAGTTGATCTACCGGCTTTCAGGTCTCACAAGGGGTTTTAAGTTAATCCCGCTGACGAGTAGCGATGGGTCTGAGAGAGGGGAGTGGCACAAGGAGGTTCAGTGGGGGGGCCATGCATAGAACTGCAAACCTGAGGCAAGCGCATCAGCCACCAATCACGCCCTCAGGCTTCACATTCAAGGATGGTGAGTGATGCATGCTTCTACCGCCTAATTACATGATTGTGCAAAAGCATCATCAGGTTGTCCAGTTCAAGTTCCAGATCAAGTTGATCAGCATTTCTGAGCAAAACGTGCAAAAAACTCCAAGGCAACATCGAGAACCAATCACACACATTTGCGTTTTAGGCTACGCGCCCATTCCTTGCTTAGTGCGAATGATCACACTTGCAATCCTAGTCCCTGTAGAAACCCCTTGTTTGAAGTAGTTGTTTCACGGAGCTTTACTGGTGTTGCACAGCTTCTTGCATCACATAAGTTCCGTATCAAAGGAAAAACCCGATCGTCTTGCCACATTCAAAGATACCGGCTGCTCCGATACTGGAGCCAATATGAGCACCTGGAGCTTTCTTCATGCTTCACGTCGGACAACCCAATGACAACTTGAAGAGATTTAGGGTACATTCCCTCGAGCCCATGGGTCCAAGGGAAAACACATACTACGAGTACTTCCTGAAATTTACTAATATGACAACCATGAACCGAGGGCACCTTACCGAAGCTTCCGCACCCCAGTGAGCCCCCAGTGCTGGCAAAGTGTCTGTATTACTTCTCGCAGCTCTTCCTTGAACTGCCATTGCCCATGCCCCGGCTCGGGCCCAGCCACGGTAGAGATTGTGAGCTTCGGGGCCGGTTTTGGGGTTTTTGGGGTGTTTCGGGCTTTCGGGATTGCAAGAAGGGGGGGAGGGGTGGGGGTCTGTTCAGCAAGAGTAGCCACAATCGGCTCACTGCAGTTGGTTGGTATACACGAAACCGTAAACTACCATACGGATGGCGCAGCAAGATATCGTGTTTTTGCAGCCTCTTGGGAGGCTTGCCTTCTCGAACGAGATGTTTAGCAGGAAAGCGCCACAGCAGAATCTGAGAGGAAATCGCAGAAACGATGCTGACGATCATATCGTGACAGTAGAGAAAGGAGGAGGACGTCACGGTTTAGGGTTTAGGGTTTAGGGTTTAGGCGGTTTTTAGGGTTTAGGGTTTAGGGTTTTGGGTTTAGGGTTTAGGGTGCTACTGTCCGTGCCTGGCCATGCCAGAGTAGGCGCATGTTTACGGGCACAAGATGCCAGTGAAGCGATTTGGAAAAGGACATTCGCATTGCCAGCGGTCTTCTCGATGCTAGAACGCAACACCACAGTTCCTTGCAAATGCCGAGTGGCTGCAAGTGACTGAGGCCTTTCTGATGCTGGACTTCATTCAGTATAGTCAGTGTAAGAACAACAAAGATTGTTCTGTTTATATTGGTGGTGCTGCCGTTGTTGTTACATGATTCCTGTCACGAGGAGTAGGTGTCCTACCCTACAGTACTATCAGGATCTACCAGGATTCATGATTGATGTTGCGCCCTCCTGAGTGTACCTCCCCCCACCCCCCAAGAATCGAGGAAGCCCTTTTTATTGTGCCAGATGGGCAGCGGACGGCTTTGCCGCTGAAGATTTCTCCAGGCATTAAACGTTGTCGGAAACGCCTCCTTTGGAGGCGAGCTCCACTGTGCAGTTGGAGAACAAATAATAAAGGAGTTGTCGCAGGAATGGCAGCTGGAAGGATACGCGAACACGAGTAGCAGTGTCATATCCGCTCTGAGAGAAAGGATGACATGATGAGCTGTCGTGGGAGATGACGGCTAGCCCACACGATCAGCAGTTGACAGCAGTAGCAAGGACGCCAGGGTGCTTCCCCCAAGCAATTGCAACAAGATGCACTCGACTGAATTTGCAAGCATATTCGTCGGAGGTAGCCAGCAAGACTGGGTCGCTAGGTGATAGTGGAGCTGATGTTGTAGGTGCTGCCAGTGATTGTAATTAGCCCAGTAGAGCATGATCAAACAGTGATTGCAGAGGAGTACAAGGGTTTGCTGTTTGCTTCCATTGTACCAATGGCTGCCAACAATGTGAATCCTGGCATTCAGCCAGGTTCTCCAAGACAACTCCACGGGCGTGAGGCTGGCTAAGAGGCTTTGCCCAATACATAAAACTCACCAGCCGCTCAAGCTATACAATACAAAGTCTTAAAATCTGCTGCCAGGGTCTGTGACGTATTTCACCTCAGCACAAAAGCAAAGGCTGAAACAAGCCTCCCCATGGCGCAAACGTCAGAGCTTGCGAAGCTATACAGGGAAGCTTCTCACGTTTTTGGCATGGCGTTGTCTCCGTGTCGATATATGTTTTTGGAGCTTTTCAGCATAGGCACGTATTTACAAAAACAGACGGGCAAAATCCGACCGGAGAACAATATGTCCAGGCTTTCACTTCCAACAATTGCACGCCAAGTGTTTCCAAAGCTTGATACAAGGTCTGCTAGGCTGCGGGCGAGGCATTACCTGACAGAGGCCGCGCTGTAGAGGGACCCGGTCTCCTGGCGCAGTTTGCACGTGCTGCAGGCCTCAGGTGTAGGGTCCGTCTAGGGCGTAGGTTCAGTGGGGCACGGTGTGCACTGTGCACTGTCGACCAACTAACAGAAACACTTTCAAACATGTGAGGCGATGTGCTCTCCACTGACGCACAGTGAATGAACGTGCTCGAAGCCAGCACCCTGTGCAGTCCTCGTGCGGCTCTCCTAAGCCGAAGCGCCTCAGTTTAACGTTTTGGGATTCAGGGCCCGAGCATGCAGTTAAAGTGGGCCGAACACGCTCCCGAGACCTCCAAACGGACACTCTTTCATCTTCCGCGCTCTCATGGAATTACTTCACCACCGCAAGTTCCAGTGAGCAGACTTTTGCCGAGCGTCTGCTGGAAGTGGGCGAACTGCTGCTGCATCCTGTCTTGGGAGCTGTCTTCAATGGATCTGGGCTCTTCGACATGTTGATCAACCGAGCATATCCGAAGATGTGACTTTCCTCTAGGTGCACATCCAAGACCTTCACGATGTCCGTGAAAAATCGAGCGTGCTTTTGAGTGTCTTCAGGATGCCCACTGACAGTGTTTGTACCAGCTGTGTGAGAGAGCCCGGGCCACCAGGTGAAAAGCAGGTGATGTGTGAACGGAGTAGACAAGGGGAGAAAAGGTGTCACATCTGAAACCGCTTAAAAACACCCTCATGAGTGTCCAAAGGGGGGGGGGGGGGGGGGGGGGGGGGCGGGACTTTTCGAGAAAGATCGGCGACCTTTGTGGGGATGGCGGGTTGGGATCATCGACCGATACAGCGCATACGGTCCAAAAGACCCCCCATGGCCCACAACAAGATTGCAAGCAAGAAGGAAGTTGCTGGAGAGCTGGCGATCGACACATAGTTACCAGCTCAGTTGGGTGCATTCAAAGTCCAGCCGGGCCTCCTCAAGCCTGCGAACGAGCCACTGAGGCTTGCATGCACCTGGGCGCATGACCCCTCATGTGGGGATGGGGGGGTTGCTCGCAATTAGGGAGTCCCCATAGAACGAAGAAAGTCCCAAAGAGGGACCCTTGTACCAGAACAACCCATGTTTCGCCAGGGAAGATGCGAACATGAAACTTTAATTCCACAAACACCTTTCGGGAACATGATGCAAAGGCGTAGCAAGAAGGCACGCTTGAGTCTTTTCCTGCTGGCGAATGCATTTTGAGCTGCTCACGCGGCGCCACATGTCCACAAGGATCACGACGCACACCGCGCCCACCAATGCGAACACGAAGAGGTAGGAAGCTAGCTCATCCACAACCTGACATGAGTCTCGTACAGCTACGCAAGACAACCCTACCTGAAGGACGACAGCAAAAGGCAGCCCTCGTAGAGGTTGCCTAGTCTCATTGGCTTCAAACTGATCCTTCGTCCGTTGTCAGTTGAGGGTGGGTGTCTGCAGGTGACGGGCAGCTAGAGCTTAGCACGCAAGGCTTAGCGAGTGGCGAGTTCATGCTCTTTTTTTGAGCACCAAGGCCATAGGTAGTATGGTTGCCAGGATTCGAATCACTCGTGGCTGCTGAGGCCCAAGGTCCCCACAGGCTGGATCAGCTGCGCGTGCCACATGATGGCGAAGAGGATGGCGAAGAAGACGAGGATGGCCTCAGCCGGCGCCGCAGGAGCAGGCTCTGCAGAATGAGAACGCGCACGAGGAATGCTCAGGTTGAGCTTCCAGAATGCCTATGTTCAACTGCTGACTGACTGTGTGAGATTGATTTACTCAGTAGTATTCCGGACCTTAATGACTCTGCAAACTTTGTTGCCTGCAGAATCCTCGGCAAAGTTGGGAGCATGCAACATGATCTGTGGCCCTGCAGCAACTTTTGCTCACGCTTGTCGAAATTTCTGCATAGTAATCTCCGAGCACACATTCTGGATCACTCCGTCTGAGATCCACACAGCCATTGAGCGTCGCGACTCGGTACTGAGGTGCATGATGCTGTTTGGGATACTCCTGCAGTTGAATGAACACACATCCAACATCACACGTCAGCTTCGACGCAGTGGAGCCTTGCAGTAGCCAGAGGTATCGTGTGGGGAGGGTCAGAATAATATCTCAGCTTGGAAAGACGAGCGGGGGGGGGGGGAGGTGATGCCTGTGGTTCCATGAGGCGCACGAAACGCAAGCAGCCGCTATACTTTGTGACTGATACAAGACTTTGGGACCAAGGTATCCACGACACGTCGCTGTGACAAGAGACAAGATGAGCTGCTGCCAAGACTGGGTATGTGGCGCTATGGTCAAGAATATGTTGAGCGGGATCGACAGGAATCCTCCACCAGCCTGGCCGAGATTGCGATCCCAGAAAACGCAGTTCCCCACTGCACAGTACAGACTCTCGCCTCCCTCTCTGCCAGGACCTTCCAGGAGATGTACTTGCCTCCACAAGCTCATGTCGGATCACACAGCGGCTGATAGGGGCGAGGGTCCATCTGAAACTCTCAGCGCGCGAGAATGCGGTGGTTTAGACATTGCAATGACCTGAAGGACACAGCATCACCGAGAGCCGGACTTGGCGAGTGAAATCTCAACTGGGCTGGGCGGCTGTCAAGGCATGTCAAAGGGCCGAGCTGGCCACTGAATGGCATGGACCACTTAACTCCTTACAGTCTTAGCATACTTAACCTCACTTAACCTCAGTTCCTGTTTCCACCGCAATAAGCTCGCACTCTCTGCCAGGGCTCGACTCCGCACGCGAGGCCAAGCAGACCTTGCACTGTCAAAGAGCTGCGGAGAAAGGACACCTGCAAAGACGGAGATGTGAGAAGGTGCCCCTGTTGCCCTCTCTGAAGCTGCGCGAGTCCATGCGACTCCCCGCGTTGCGAGCCGTCTGAGCCAGTGGCCCAAGCTGACAGCAATCACCCACGAGAGGCACCTGAGGCTGGGCTGATGAAGGCCCCCCCCCCCCATCCGCCTCTGCACCACCCACACAAGATCAGCCAAGCAGCACAGCTTTCAGAAGGACCTGTACCTCCGGCCTGGGCATCTTAAATGTTGCTAGGCTTCTGGCCAGACGGATCGGTCAGGGCTTTGAACGTCTTGCATGATCCGTTTATCCCTCCTCCCCCCCCGCCCCCTGCCCCCGCCCCCGCCCCCACCCCGCAGCGATCCAGTCCTTTCTTCACCCTGGCCACACCGTTCCGTACGGCGCTAAGAGGCAAAATACCTTGCGTAGAGTTTTCTCAGTTTCGGCGGCTGGTTTGCGAGCCCGAAGGTGCAGACAGAAGCCTGCGGAAGCCTTCACATAAAAGGATTGCATTGTAGGGAATACACAAGTAATTAGGAACTACCCAGACTGACATGGTGACAGGTGCAGGCAGCCCTATACATTCAAAGCTCTGATGCCATTACTTATAAAGGCATCTGCGGGCGGAAAGTGCGGGAGGCATACAAGCGTCAAGCGGTCTGCTGTTGAACCAGTCCTGGAACTTCCTCACCTCAGATCTTTCAAGGCTGCTGCGCACCTTTGAGTGGGCGCCTGTGCGTGTGTTGATTGCATAGCAATTGACGTGTGCTGCTGCAGCCCACGGGAGAAATGGAAAACGCCGCAGCCCTGACAGCTGCGCGATGCAGTACCAGTAAGATCCAGGCGTGCTGACGAACTGAACCTTCGACGTGTTCAGATCCGTCTGCCTTCTCGCTGAAGGCTGAGCTATTGTCTGTCCTTGCGACCAGCCTGAAATGAGTTCAGGGATGCAAAATGATGTGTGTATGGCTTCCGGGACAGCCAGGAACATGTTTTGACCAGGAAGCAAAGGGAGACACAAGCCGTAGCATGCTGGGTTCGACAGGGCTAAAGGGGCTATGATGGCTGTGGCTTGTGGTTTCAATACAGGTGCCATGCCGCACAGGATGTAAAGCTCGTGGGCTTCACGCAGGCTTCGTGCGCTCACTTGATGTAGTATTAGGGGGCTGTCGAGCCTGTCCAGAGCTTCTGCTTTGATGGCTGCGGTCTCCGCCTTCGAGGTCCCGGAGCTCCTGCACACTGGGGACCGAGAAGAACCGAAACCCTGGATTCGGGCCGAAGCAGACAGAGCCAGCTGCCTAACCGGGCCTGTGACTCAGGCAAGCATGGCAAGCCGAACAGCGAGGTGTCCTTGGAACCCCGGGCTCGCCCTGCTGGGGCTGGCGGGTTTGCATCACCGAGCACACATCCTCAGCCGAACAAGCAAGATAACAATTGAGGAGTGGCGCGGAGAGCATGGTGGAGCAGCTCCTAGCCTGCTTCTAACAGCTGAATGCAGTCAAGAATCCTCGTCAACCGTGGCTTCACCCTCTATGGCTGCACCGGAGGCTACTCGCAGGCAGTAGCAGCATCCTTCGCGACAGATCACTCTCAACTGGTTAGACTTTGTTTCAATCCTATCTGACCCGCTCCTGCCACACGAACGAGCCACCGGAGCATCGCTCAAGCACGCGAGCTGCGACCTAGGCTAAGACAGATGAGCTGGTGTCCCAGAGACACTCCTGCTGGACTTACGGTCCCGCGTTCGCATCACACTGCATCCAACAAGAAGGGCTGCAAAATGGCGAGGTTTCAAAACCAAGCAGCATCTGCCACCAAGCATGGCCTTGGCAATGCGAACACACACTTTTCTGTGTCTTGAACCATGGATGCAATGCTTGGGTTACATGGAATGGGGCGCTTGCCAACAAACTCCCCACGGAGGTCTACTCGTGATCATGCAGGTACTGTATCCTACCATATCTACACAAAGACTCCCAGACAGGCTCACATGTCGGTGGCCCAAACCCCCGGTTGCTGGGAGGGGACCCCCAACCCCGACCGCCCCTGTCACAAAACCTTGTCTCGAAAGAAGAAAGTACGCTGAGGGAGCTGCAGAAGCGCTCTTGAAAAGGTTCGGTCTCGAAGCCGCGCCGAACGCGGCTTGGGCCAAGAGTTGCGACATTCGAGGATGCAAAACTCAACTTCCCGAATCAGGCCCACAGCTCAAGAGCTCCAATATTCTAGCGTCACTACAGGCTGGACGCAAATATCTCCCACTTGGATATAGAATCATCTACTCTATTCTACTCTCCAACATGAAGCCCCGAGGCCAAATCAAGTGTGCAAGCATAATTACGCCATACCTCAAGGCTAAAGGTGCCCTCAACTTGAACAACCCTCGATGTGCATGAGACAGTCTTCTCACGCCAGGGATATACGAGTCTCGGTCAAAGCATGAGGTGCTTGCCTCCTAAGTGCTAAGAGGCTAAGACGGGGACGCTATCTGACTGTGTCTCTTCAGACGCTGAGTCGCTGCGCAAGCGACCTCAGCCCTGGCCTGGCCTCCTCACACCGAAAATTATATATATATATAGATATATATATATACATATTTATATTTGTATATATGTTTATGTATGTCTATGCTGATGCTCACGAGCAAGGCCACCTTTGTAGCGTCCCGGGTATGTGCTTTCTCTGCTATCACGGCACACAGCCATGAACTGGCAGCGGGCATCCAGCTGCAGCTCTGCTCAGGCACTCAAGGATTCTGCTCAATGCTCGCGCTAGTGGCATCAAGAACTTTGAGAACAAGACTTCGGCACTAAGTGGCAAGATCCGTCAACTCCAAGCCCTACATTGCCCTACATCTAAACCACGACACAAGAGGAGAGCGCCCTGCACTGCGGATGCCGGTTCATTAACGACTCAGCCGCGCAGCGACTCATTCGCCTGCAAGTGCTGAAGCTGTCACAACACCATGAAGAAAGGGGACCTCGATGGATCTACACAGACATCGAAACCTACCAACACCCAGTGCCCGAGTCTCACTTGACCGTACTACATTAGGACCATGCTGCTTTCCCATGAATGTCCGGGGAATGTGTGCACTGCGAGCCCGGCCACTGCTCACTCGTAAATCCACTTTGTCTCGTTGGTGGAGATATTTCGCCAGTAGAACTTGCCTCGGCGTTTCGTGCAACTTGCGCGTGTTGCAGTCCAGAGAATGCATAGTCCCAAGATTCGCGAAGCTTGGGGGTGCATTGGCTGCTTTTGGGCACATTACCACCCTCCAGGGAGCCTACAACCCTAAACCCTAAACCCTACACCCTAAACCCAGCAGCATTAAGGCATCCGCCAGGGTGGCTCGAAGATTCCTCGTCAGCCGCTGCTGGGTGCAGGACACGCACTTTAGTCAAGAAGCAAGTCCCGGCATAGTTTTTCGCTGTACATACTAATTACTAGTCTCTATCCGCGCCCGCAGGTTTGTTCCCAGAAGCAGGCAAAGCGGGAAACCTTCGGCAAAATCCAAAATCCACCAACCAACCATTGTCATACCGTCATAATTACAACCAAAGATCGGACTAACATCAGCGGCAGCTGCGTAAATTGATCATTTTGGGCCCAGGAGACCAGGAGGCACAGCAGTCTTCTCAAAAAAAGAGACATGCCGATGGCCGCAAACTACACTACTATTGACTACGTAATGTCTGTGACATCTGTGATGTGGGAACTTACGAAAATAAGGGACCCCTATAATGGACCCCCAAAAAATAGGATTCCCTGATAATAATGACCTCAATAAGGTACCCCTATTTTCGGAAACCCCCACATAGGTGGAGGGGGTTCTTAAACCACTACATGATGCCACCGAGAGTCATGTCTCTCCCACTCATCGTTTGGCTTTGGCTCATCTGTTGGTTTTGGCCGCTCCCACTGCGTCTCCTACACATGGAGGAGGAACAGCTTGTACGCCATCACTGATTTCAGATGCATCGCGTGCGGTCAGAACTCTAAGATAAGATATGAGTTCGATGCAGGACCGAGCCTCCGTCTTTGTGTTCCTGTAATAGGACCTGGCATGAGAATTCAGAGCACGACAGCTTCCATGCCGCTCATGTCGAACCAGAGGAGGCCAATAAGTAGAGGCCAGGAACATGCTCAACACTGCCCCCCTCGTCTGCACACGCACACACACAGAGACGCACACACATCTATAGATCATCATGTCAACCATGTTGCCAAGCTATCCAAAGCTAGGTCCTCATGCGTAGTGAACGTGCCGGAAGCACTTTCCCGGGTACTTCGTGGATGGGAGCAGTTCCCATCCATCAGGGAGTGGCCCGAGGTTGTCCTAGCGTCAACACTGCACCCTGCAACGTGGCTACTCTACATGTACCACTCATGTACCACTATCTCCTGGCATCTTGCAACCAAAGAGCCGGTTTATCCTAGGTTCAAGCCCAAAGCCGGTGAATAGATGGATTTGCGATGATACCAACAATGGCACAGGGCTGACAGCCACTTTCATGGCTGACTTGGCAAGCTCAATCCTGCTATACTGGGGCTACTCGTGAATCGGGGTGGGGGGGCTCCAACCGACCGAGAACTTACACCTGCCGCTACACTGCTACTTTTTGCATGTGCTACTTGTACTACTTCTGACTTTCTGTATGCAAGTCGTGCCTACTAGTGACAAGTATAGTATGAGGAGAGCCAGCATACAAACCGTTGCGGCGGCCTCACTGGCGCCCAGGTTCGGTGCTGAGCTGGGGCGGACGCTTGGCCTACAAGCAGAATGAATCGGAGTGAGCTGCAGACAACTGGGTTGTCATACAGACGTGGGACTAACGGCTGACAAATTGCTCTGAGCAGACGCGACAATATGACAGTGCAAAACACATGTTATGAATTATGAACATGAAAAGCCGAAGAGGTCTGCTTCGGGACATGCTGGCACCAAGGCAACGCACTCCTTTGCATTATCCGCAGCTTCACTGGTAGTCACTGATCATGAGCCAGTGAGGTATTTGTGGCTTTCAGCGGGCACTTGAGGGCACAGATTCAGAAGACCGTCGGAGAGTGTCGGAGAGTGCCCTCACCTATCTTGACTCCAACGCACCCTCGTACGCTTAGCAGGGTTTGGGGCAACACATCTGGGCAACGACATGCATCTGACGACTTTTGCCTCAAGAGAGAGGCGGCTTCTTTGCCGGTGTATCAAAAAAGGAGAGAACAAAACAAAACCAAAAATGTGAGAATAGGAGCACGAAAGGGAAAGAGTCCGAAAGAGTCTGAAAAGAGTCTGAAAAGAGCCTGAGAAGACTCCGAAAAAGAGCCTGAAAAGAGTCTACCCTAAACCCTAAACCCTAAACCCTGAAAAGAGCCTGAAAAGAGCCTGAAAAGGGCGAGAGACACAAACAGGGCTTCGTGCAATTGGCCCGGCCTGCTGGGCGTGGAGGCCTCCACGGGTGCCTCTAAGGGTGGCGGTTTAGGGTGGTTGGTTTAGGGTTTAGGGTTTAGGGTTTAGGGTTTAGGGTTTAGGGTTTAGGGTTTAGGGTTTAGGGTTTAGGGTTTAGGGTTTAGCGTTTAGGGTTTAGGGTTTAGGGTTCAGGGTTCAGGGTTCAAGGTTTAGGGTTTAGGGTTCAGGGTTTAGGGTTTCGGGTGCAGAGAAATCTCAGCTCAGTCATTACAACTTCCTTCTCTTGGTCTTCATGTTATGCAGCGCGCAGTCGATTGCATAGCAATGAACGTGATTTCGTTTGTGGATGCTGTTGTCTTTGATTCCTCAGACAGGTTCTACACCAGAGCATGTCAGGCATACAGGGTTTAACGCAGGCGTTCCAACTTTCGAGGATCTCCTTTGGTGCTTCTTCCCTTTTCAACTTTCCATCCGCGTTTCGAGACTTGTATCGGATGCCACGGCCCTTTGATGCGCACGCCCGTTTGTAGCTGCTTTTGTGTGAGAAGTTGAGGTTTGGGTGTGCTGCTCAGATCAGTATCTTTGTTTCTAACAAGCTTGGGCAGCCATGGCGCGTAGCATATAACCGCGTCCGAAGTCCAACAAACCATAAGCCAAGAAGCCAAGGTGCTGGACAGAAGCCGAAGAAGCCAAAGAAGCCAATGAGCCCAAGTACAGCACGTGCAAAGAACCCCAAAATGAGTCCCTATATTGCCCTTATAAGGAAGACTACATGTTTAACTTTTTCGGCCAAGAGCAGAACGGAATTGTTGCATTCCTACTTAATGCTAAGCTGGAATGAACCCCCCCTTCTATAGAAACACACATGATCAGCTTGCGCCAGTGGAGAATTGGTTCCAACTCAGGTCGCGGCCATTGCAGTTGTGGACCTGTGCAAGAGGGAAAGTCAGCCTTACGTGAATTTATGGGCCGCAGACATCTTTCTCAATGTCGGCTTTTCGCGTCTCGACTTCAGTTGCTGTGCAAACTCTTTTCCCTGAACCGTAAAGGCCCGGAACCCTAGACATCCCTAAAGCTCAACAATCTTCTTATCTCATAATTATGTTATACAATAGAATATATTGTACCACATCATACTATACTATACTATACTATACTATACTATACTCTACTATATTCTATTCCATTATATTATTTCGCCCTACCTTGCGGGGGAAGGTTGGCCCTCCACGGCGGCCTCCGCAGGAGCGTGTTC